GGCAGGTAAAGAAATTAATATTACATGTACTGTATATGTAATAGACTAGATGTGAGTAAAAATAATCTTGATTTACGTCCTTAAATATTCAAAATTCAGTCAAAGTGATCATATTCATAATAGTACATCTAGAATTATGGTTTTGAAAATTGGCTTGAAAACTAATATTTTCTTTTACTGGACATATTTTAATTTGCATAACTATTAGATACATAAGGCAGGGTGATATGAAAATTGAACCACTAAAACTAGAAATATTTAAATTAAAGGAAACTTTCTACTATACCCGCCATGCTATCTGACCCGAACGAGCCACCTGGTGGTGAAAATAGTAACTACCTACTCGCGTCTGAGTTATTGATTGAGCTACTTTTCCATGGCGTCACATGAATTCACATGAACCAACCAGCTAATAGGAAGAAAGATTACCTGTACAGGCAACTTGCCATTGCTGTAAATTGATTTTGCTTCCTTGTTCACTATGATAATTTGATAATGACAAATTAGAGAGATTTCGCACCTAGTGAAAGTACAACTTATAACGTATACTTATACTTATAGGTAAACGTACAAGGTGTTTCATAATGTGAGCTTTTCGTCAGGAAAGATCTTCTCGGACTGTAATAAATACAGGTCAAAGGGATGCCATTTGTACTTTCTTGAATTGTAGCATGTTTAGTTGATCCAAATGTGTTTGTCTAGAATAAAATAGGCTCATATATAGTACATATGTTATAGACCCATCTCTTCTCAAATTGACTTTTTGGAGATGCTCGTTATGAAACACCCTGTATGTTATATGTTGAGCTACTGAATGGGTCGTTTCCAGGAATTGCTAGAACCTACTGGTTTGATTGGTGTTTCAAATTGATGGTTAAATTAAAGTATTTGATTGGATACTGTTCCCACTCCGCCAATTAATTTGAAAAAATGCTTGCAGTCAATTGTTCCACACACATGTATAGTAGGCAAATCTTTATATGGAGATCCAACTGTATACGTTATCATCTACGTAAATATACCGTTTTGTAAGTTCATTGAACTTATACGTACTGATCATGAAAACATTGAAATAATCAACTTGTTTATGTAATGACTCACTTTAAAGAATCATGACTCCCTTTAAAGGATCGTGTTTATAATACACTACAACTACAAGGACACGGAAGCAAGCATTTAATTATATAGTGCATAATCTACACGTGCAGATGACAGTGCATTCATAGTCTCTAGTTGATGGAGCTTTTCTATAACGGGAATAGTTATGTTCCATTAAGTACAATTTAAAATTGATTTTAGTAAATATAATAGTTCGATATGACCCTTTAAACTATACGTATAAGTTGTACTTTCACTTATGTGCGAAATCTCTCTATTGATTCTATTTAAGTACTTATAACTGTTTCAAGGCTAAATCAGATAGAGCACAATCTTATTCAGTATATATTTTGTAACTTACGATATATTTTCTAGAAATAGCAAACTTCATACTTCATACACCCACTGCCACCTCCCCTAGTATTTCTGTCAACAATCATTAAAGGGGTTAAGTTACACATATTTGGAAGACTTTCATGTGTAATAGTGTGACCCCCAGACATTGGTTGCAGGTCATTGTTCATCAAAAAGTAGAAAATTGTTTTTTTGGAATCGTAAGTTACGACAGTTCTAAAAATGGACCCAAGAGTCTATTTATTTACAAATACCCTTTCTTAAAAACAGTCCTGACTTTAAACTATTATTTTTATTGTTTTCCAGATTACTTTATATGGATGGAGGGACCAAAAAATGATGGTTAAAAAAGGAGGAATGGAAATTCTTAACAAGATTATTATATTATAAACTATTCCAAGGGACTGTCCATCATTTCATTTTCCAAGTAAGTTCAATACCAATTATTGGCCATATTTAAGCTAAGCCCTGTGACCTACTTACTTGACCTACTTCAAAGCAAATTAATGAGTATTAATCCTACCAGATAAAATCTTTGTAGTATACACACATCTCACATTTATCTTCCTAACCCCAAGGAACTGTGTAATGAGGCTGAAAAATAGAGATTCTGTTTTCAGATCTCTTAAAGTCCCCGTCTAAAGTTTGAAAATATTTTTTTATCATTCATTTACTATTTGTCATCACTTAAAAACTTATTTTAGAGATTTTTGAAAAAAAAAAATTTTTTTGAAAAAAGTGAGCATTTCATTTCTCAAATATTCAAATTTCCCGCCATTTTTCAAAAAAAAGTTGAAATTTTTTAATCATCAAATATTTCTTAATGCATTTCAAAAAGATATTATCTTTTTAACACCAATGCAAAGATTGAACAAAGGACTCACTATTTCAATAATAAAATGCCATATTTAATGGGCTACTTCAATGTTTTAGCATATCAAAAATATTTTGAAACATTAGTGATGTCACTAAGGTAAATTGAAATTTTGTTTTCGATGTCAATCTTTTCTAAATATGCTAGACTTCAATAATAAACCAATGTTGATTGTCTAACCAGGTTAAAAATAAGAATATATTATGTTTTAGATATCATTATCCCACCGAACAAAGTTCGAGGGGGATATAGAGAAGCCGTCCGTCCGTCCGTACGTTCGTTCGCCCGTGTGACTGGGCGGTAACTCCAATACTGGTTAACGGATATGGTTCAAATTTTATAGGCTTATGCCTTATGAGTGTAGGACCTCTGCTCAAGAAGGAATTTTCAATATGGCAGCTCAATTCAAAATGGCCGCCATTTTTCGTAAAAAATGTAATCGTTGATACCTAAAATACAAGTTGATGGATTTGGTTCAAATTTTATATGCTGATGCCTAGGGACAAAGGAATTTCGCACAAAAAGAGATTTTCAAGATGGCCGCTTAATTTCAAAATGGCGGCCATTTTTTGTAAAAATATGTAATCTTTGATAACTGAGATACCAGTGAACGGATTTGGTTCAAATTTTATATGATGATGCTTAGGGACACAGTAGCTATGTTTGACAAAAAATTTTCAAGATGGCGGCTTAATTTCAAAATGGTGGCAATTTTTCGTAAAAAACGTAATCTTTGATATCTCAAATACCAGTGAACAGATTTGGTTGAAATTTTATATGATTATGCCTAGGGACACAGTAGCTCTGTTCAAGAAATAATTCTCAAGATGGCGGCTGAATTTCAAGATGACGGCCAATTTTCGTAAAAAACGTAATCTTTGATAACTCATATACCAGTAAACAGATTTGGTTCAAATTTTATATGATGATGCTTAGGGACATAGTAGCTATGTTCAACAAAAGATTTTCAAGATGGCCGCTTAATTTCAAAATGGCGGCAATTTTTCGTAAAAAACGTAATCTTTGATAACTCAAATACCAGTGAACAGATTTGGTTGAAATTTTATATGATTATGCCTAGTTACACAGTAGCTCTGTTAAAGAAATAATTTTCAAGATGGCGGCTGAATTTCAAGATGGCGGCCAATTTTCGTAAAAAAACATAATCTTTGATAACTCATATACCAGTGAACGGATTTGGTTCAAATTTTATATGATGATGTCTAGTTCACAATGGTATAAACTAACTTTGTGCCAAATTTCATGCTTCTGTCACAAAGTGCACAAACATTTCAACATTTACACTAGCTATAATAAGCATAATATGTTTTGTTCGGTGGGATTTGCTACTCCGTGGAGTTGCTGCTTTTCTAGTTGTACCATTGGTTTCTATGAGAACTAAAATTTTTAAATGCATTTTTCTCGGAACCAATTTTATGCACTGATAAGTTCATTTCTCGCTTATTTATAAACCAATTTTCTTAATTTTTTTGGCAAAAAACATATGAGGATGAATGCTATGCATTGGTATGAATTGTGGCTAATTAAAAGATATTTGTGACCTCTAAAAGTTAGTTTTAAATAAATTCACAAATTTTGGAACAAAAAGTCTATCAAAAACCACTTTTTGAAATAAAAAAAAAAGTTTCACATATCACACTTTGATAACATTGGGTAAAACTACAATATAAGCCAAAGTGGTTTAAACTTTAGATGGGGAATTTAATATTATTTATTCTTATTATTCAAATGTGAGCTATTTAAAAGCATATAGATATTTTAAGGTGTAATCGATTTTGTTAAATTATATGGATGTTTATTTTCAGGTTGAGAGGTAGAAATACACTAACATGGCCTTACATTGGACTCAGATATATGTGGTATTCTTAGTCATATCCCAAGTTTTATTGCAAGGATTCTTTATATCAAGTCCTGGAAGTAAGTATTGAATTCTTCAAAGTGCACATTCTTATGTTTTTTTTGCTAAATGGTTCATTGCTATCTCTCCCTTGTCTGTTGTCTCTATTGGTGATTGCCCATCTGTCCTTAGATCAGTTTATATACTACTTGTATCTAACTTTTTCATTCCTTGATTTCATTAATGTTCATTCATCTGTCCCTGTCTGTCATACAAACACATTTACAAGTATAAGTGTACTGATTTTCTTCATATTTTGTGCAAAGATGTATACTGGCAAATGGTTGGACGCAAACATTTTTTTTAAATGGCTGTCAAATAAAAAATGTTGAGAATCTAGTGCCATTTTTCTGGGCATTGCTTAAAATGCTTATTTGATGGGGTGATCTTGTTCACTTTGTGTTTTGCTCACTTTTTATAACTATAGTTTAATATTTTGATTTTGAAGGATTACACTCTTAACAAATTGTTCATTCTTGTCTTTCCAGAAGTAACACCAGTGAATCCTCTAGTTGAGCTTGGAAATTATATTGAACTAAACTGTACATTGACAGGGGATGTTGCCCCCTTCAACTCAAGCTACCTCTATTTCCAAGCTGGCTCTAAAGTAATCTCATCGGATTTCTACACAATCCTGTCTCCAACTTTAATGATATACAAAGAGAATATGACAGGACAATACACTGGGAGGCACCCATTTTATTGTTACCTGAACGAAAGCACCAGTGAGGAAAATGTGAAACGAACACTGATTGGATCACAGGTGGCTACAATAGGAAGTATGACAACAATTTTTACTCCATCTTCTACAATTTTTGTGAAACCTCTACAATGTAATGTTATAGGTTGTTTGTTAATATTCTTGCATGTTTTATTTTAACTTTAGTTGGAAAGTTTGAAGACTGTAGATTCATTGGTTTTTGCAGGGTGACCCAATAAAGATTAAATTTAAGTCACGTGACAGACTATACCGTGAATTAATGGAGAATCAATCAGACCTTATGTATACAGTTCACATATCAGAACTTCTGAGTGATTCAACTGTTATAACAAATTCATTTATTTTTGCTTTCACATTCATTTGTGAAGCTTAAGAAAAGCATAATGTTTTGATTGCTAGAGTATTGATACCTGCGTTTGAACTTTGTGTCAAGCGCTAAACAGTCACTTTAGTCTTCAACTTCATGTTTAGCTTTTTATGTCCCCACCACATAGTGTGGGGTCATATTGTCGGCCTAGGCACGTCCATCCGTCCGTCCGTCCGTCTGCTCTCCCACAGAGTCCTTAGTGCTGTGCGCCATGCGTTCAGATATACCCTTCTGGGGTTTTTACCGACCTCTGTGGTGCAACCCAGAAGTTGGTCAGTTTTCATAACCAGTGCACCTCACATTCATAAAGAACAATCGCACCCCGTATCAATTTTGATATGCTTAACATTGTCCATTATAACTTGGACAGATTTGGCACTGTGGACTGTACTAGAATGTGCAACCCGCACAGCACAAGGAAAAAATTGCACAAAGGACTCTGCGGGAGTACGTCCGTCCGTCCGTACGTTCGGGAGTTTTCTCCAAAACCGCTACAGATATCACCTTCAAATTTTCAGGGATAACTTATGAGTGCATACAGGTGTGGATGAAAAAAATTAACTCGAAACCTACTTCCTGTCGGCCATTTTGAAGTCAAATGCTAAAATCCTTGTCTGCAAACTTTAAGAAAAACAGCTTCACAGTTGCTTTTAAAACTTTAATATCTTGTTCAGCTCACTTCATTCTAGATCTGATTAGGTTTTGAACCTGTTAGCTCAGTCATGGCAGCCATTTTGAATGTCTTAAGAAAAGTTAGCGTGCGATAATACTTTGTATCATACTGAATGGTGTTTTTGAGTTTTCATACTTTAACTATTTAGTAGCTTTATAAATAATTTCAGATGTACTTTCTTGTAAAAGCCTATGTTATTGTTAACAGTAGTTATATGTGATAATTTTGTAAAGGGAAATCAGCAAAAACTCATAATCACTTTTTTATTGTCGGCCATTTTGGATTTTTCCGTCCTAAAATCTTGTCTGTGAAGTCTTGTCTGCGCGTTTTCAGGTGAACCGTTTGGTGGATCAATTTCAAATTTTTAGGGATGATTCTTAGTATAAAAATCTAGATCTGATTAGTTTTTTGGTATTCTGGGTAAATGTCAAGGCAGCCATTTTTGGATTTTCTGTCCTAAAATCTTGTCTGTAAAGACTTGTCTACGCATTTCCAGGTGAACCGTTCTGTAGATCAATTTCAAATTTTCAGGGATGATTCTTAGTATGAAAATCTAGATCTGATTAGTTTTTTGGCATTCTGGATAAATGTCAAGGCAGCCATTTTTGATTTTCCGTCTTAAAATCTTGCCTGTAAAGTCTTGTCTACGCGTTTTAAGGTGAACCGTTTGGTAGATCAATTTCAAATTTTCAGGGATGATTCTTAGTATGAAAATCTACATCTGATTAGTTTTTTGGCATTTTGCATAAATGTCGAGGCAGCAATTTTGGATCTTCTGTCCTAAAATCTTGTCTGTAAAGTCTTGTCTATGCGTTTTAAGGTGAACTGTTCGGAAGATCAATTTCATATTTTCAGGGATGAATTTTAGTTACTTCGGTCCAAAGCCTTCTCTATATTCCGGCTTTGAGGAGGAAGATTGAGCTGCCTTAGTATTATAAATATTGTAAATCATTGTGTCACACGCACAGTAAATATGGCATAATAATATGAAATATACCTTTATGTATAGATTTGAAGAACATCAGCTCACATCCCCGTCTGAATCTATTGTTATATTTGATTTCTTTAAGCGAGAATAATTTCAAATGTTATTCACGTCCAGAACCGGAAGCCATTTTTAGCTACAGCGAGAAAATTTCACCATGTGTCAAACTCCGAAATGAAATTTTGAAATATCTAAATCCAGACAAGCAACGCTTCATCCTAAATATGATTAATATTCTTAAAAATATTTATAAAATTTATTAAAAATGAGTTCTAGGTGCGTGTAGGTGCGTGTAGCACAGTACATACGAAATCAATGAAGTTTCGTCTAGCTGTAAGCTAGAGACTCGAGTAAAATTTTAGTATGAAAATCTACAAACTGATTAGTTTTTTGACATTTTGGGTAAATGTCAACGCAGCCATTTTGGATTTTCCATCCTAAAATCTTGTCTGTAAAGTCTTGTTTACATGTTTTCTGGTTAACTGTGTGACGGATCAATTTCAAATTTTCATGGCATTCTGGGTAAATTTTAAGGTGGCCATTTTGGATTTTCCATCCTTAAATTAAGTCTTGTCTACTCATTTTTAGGATAACCATTAGACGGGATCACCCATTGGTGGGGACATTTTGGACATTTTGCTATATATTGGAATAATGAGAATTTTAAACTGCAAAAGGTTGGATTAAATATTAAACCTGATTAGAGTGTTCAGCAGAAACCTTTTTATTGACATGTATTCAAGGAAATACTTGTACTTGTGGACTCAAATAAATGATAAGATATAATGTAATTTCCTTTAACAGACTGACATGGTCCTCTCGTTCAAATATATTTTTCATTGGCAAACATATTTGAGCAGTCTTAACCATTTTGAGCATATTTTAAGTGATTTTGGGCCAACATTGTCAAACTGCCTGGACTTTTGTCAAAAATCAAACTCCTGAGGCAAAAGCTGGCTATGACATGATAGTATTCTGAACAACCTTGAGGAATTATCTTGTGTCCTGTGTCATTCCTTCATAATAGTTCATACTTATCAAATACCTAATAATCAACCTATGGTGAAGGGCTGTTCTAATATTACCACATGCAATCTTGATATACCAGTACTTCAGAATTAAATGATTTTTATCTTATTCACTTTAATATACATTGTACGTGTAGTTTAAACGTGTAGTTTAAAAGTGTTTTATCTGTATTTCAAATTATACTTGTTGTTCTCAGAAGAACATGAAGAAATCTCTCATTGTGTAAAGTAGTAAAGCTGTAAAGGGCAGTATATTATTTGCATTTTAAAATATATATAAAACTTCTCAAGTGAATTGAACCTAGTGATAATTACCGTTAAACCTGGTGAGACATTATTTCTGTGAATGATTGAATGTTTCTTGTAATTTACAATATTGTGTGGTTGTAATCAAATATATAGTGCTAGTAATAAACCGAATTATTTTGTGACTCACACACTCAAGTTACTTGAGTCAACTTTTATTTTTTTGATCAAAATTCTGATTAGAAATATAAAAGAAGTAAATGAATGAAATGTCGCTAATTTTCAGACTTTGTTCAATTAAAATTTGTCTTGCAATCTGATGGTGTGCTTCCCAGAACACTTACGACAAAGGCATCTGAAGAGACCTCTTTTATAGTAACCTTATACAATGGTAGCAATACAATTGGTTAAAAAGATGTCACATTTATCCAACTTCATCCAGGAACTAGTACCATTGATGGTTTCAGTTTCTTTTTGTGATCATTCAATTTGAGCATTTTTGTTCTTATGACATCTTTTAATCTATAAGCATCTGATAGAATATACAGGCACTGTATAGTTATTTCATTGCCCCACAACAGATTCTTTGTAAAAGTGATATTTTACATATATATGCATATAACTCTATGAAAGTCACCATATTATGTTATTGCCTTATCTTTTCCAGGGAAACCAGTGAAACCAACAAATTTTCGTGCTCGGTTTAATAACTGGAATGATGGACATGTCTCTTGGGAACCTGAACAGAAGAATGCTACCTTCCTGCATACAGCAACCACTGTTTCATACAGCTTTTTGTAAGTGCATTTTGTGCAATAATCTTCAGGTCTGTGTATAGCTCTCTGTAAGTAACATTCATTTAGTGACACACAGCTATGCTCTTGTACAGCTCTGCATGCCAAAGTACCCTGTGTCTGGAAACAGTGTACACCGAAGACAAGTAGGAAGGCACATCAACTTTGTTTCTTGTAGTTTTGTATACAGCATCATGCCCACAAGACAGTTTTTTTGGGGGGGTGTCAAAGGGGAATTCCAGCGGGGGAGGTGGGGTGGGGGTGTCAGAGGGAGCGCAAGTGTTTGTTCCCCAGAAACATTTACTGTATCAAGGTGCCTTTGATGATGTCTGGGCCCTTTAAAAGTGTCTGAGACAATAATACAATAATTCAGATTTTTCAATTGTTTTGTGGGTGTGTGAGGGGTGGCCCACTCCCCCAAGAAAATTTTACAATTTTATAATTTTAATATTACTGCTGAATAAACAAAAGATCCTATTTGTTGCTTTCTAGGCACCTTCAAAGTGTGTAAGTCTATGAAAAAAAATATAACAAAAAAAATTTTCAATAAGAAATTTTCAAAAAAAAAATTTTTCAATTTTTTTTGGGGGGGTGTCAAGGTTTTTCAACCATTTTGCTTACGTCATTCATCCAAAAACGTCAATACTCTTTAAAACATTTTATTGACTACATGTATAAGATTGCTTTATATAATCCCCAAAAATATTTCTCATTTTCAAGGATTATCTATGGATTAGCACCCAGGTACATACTTTCAAACTTCAGAGGACTGGGAATCATTGATTCTATTCGCTTTTGAAAGATTTAGATTTAAATTTGAAAAGGGATTCATTTTTGTATGCAGATGCAGATCTTTTTACAGATTTCGCGGTAAACTGCATCAATGTGGTGGAACTGAATCCATGTGCAGCTGTACTGAGAATTATTGCTATTTCTCAAGGATTGTAGCTAGTCAGCAAATATTGTATTTGTTTATGACAATAAAGAATGCGCTTGGAGAACTTCCCCAACATCATCATCAGATAGTTATGAAAGATCACAGTGAGTATTTATTATTAAATCTATTATTTGTGTTGTCATCTTAACTTTTGTGTTTTTGCAGGCACCCAAGCTCTGGAGGATTGACACCATGTACATCTGAAGACAAGGAGCATAAATCCAATTGCATCTGTTCTTCAAATCATTGTAACTTTACTCATATTTCTGCCAGGCTTTACCTTTATTTACAAATTGATTGTATCAATGATATTGGTAAAACCACTGCAAGAGAGAGAATAGACATGGAAGCAAATAGTGAGTGTTAACTTCTACATGCTGGTTGGTGACTGGTGCTTAAATGCTTGTTTATATAGAGTAGTATGCATTAATCCACCTGCATTCATATAGAAAGCCTTGCTACAATGAGTAAGATTTATTGCCTTTTAGATCATCTAGACACCCAAGATGATTTTTTCTTTAAGCCTTTTGTGTCGGCTGTTCTGCTTTCACAGACTTGTGGGTCTTAGACTGAGATACTTAAATCAGCCAAATGTTTTACCAGTTAGATTTTCAATCAAAAAAACTTTGACAACTTCATACCCTGGAAATCCGTACCTTGGAAATCCAAAGTGCCAAGAAGGAGCAACTTTGTGACTTCCCCTACCATTCTTGTCTTGGATGAAATATACATATTACTAACTGATAATAGACTTGGTGTCTAGGTTATTTTTAGCCGCTTTAACATTATTAATTTTACTAATCCCTTATTGCACTCTATGCATTCTTGAAATGAAACAGATATATCTTGTTTGTGACATCATCATCACAAGTATTGTCTTTTAGTACATAAGAGGATACTATGTTTTCTACACATCCAACTACTTATAAGCATGTATGTACAGTATGTATAAACTTAAAAACTGATTAGTTTTTGGGCATTCTGAGTAAATGTTAAGGTCAGCATTTTGAATTTTTCATCCTAAAATCTTGTGTGTTGAAGCTTTTCTACAGGTTTCAAACTGTTTCATGGATTCATCTGAAATTTTAGAGATATTTCTACATGCATGACATGTGAACGTTTAGAACTGATTAGTTTTTGGGCATTCTTGTTAAATGTTAAGGCGGCCATTTTAGATTTTCAATCCTTAAATCTTGCCTGTTGAGGCTTTTCTACAGGTTCAAAGGGTGCAGTTCACCCTGTGTCTTGTTGTTTTTCTGAATTAAATTTTCTGGAACCCCACCCATTATTCTCCCAATGCATTTATTTAGTGGATCACATGGCCATATTTGCTTATTGAGCTTTTTATGATTCCTTTATTAAATCCATGTTTTTGCTTGTATAGTGACTATCCCAATGTTTCTGGAAGTTAATTTGAAAAGCATTTTTGATTTAAAGATGGTACTTTTGTTTGGTGAAATGATGACTAATTATTTCTATACAAATAGCAGCATGTGACTATTTTAAATTATTTCCAATATTTTGCAAAGAAAATTTGTGTAAATAGTTATGTAATACCATTGTCAGTACTTAATCAATTGTTGTCAAACAAAAGTGTGTTTGTTTTCTGCTCTTAAGTACATCTTTCTGCATGTACATATGTACATATCATGTCAATTGCACAGCTCCTGATAATACAATTATTGCATTACTGCATGTTAAAAAATGTAGAATATTGTATAATTAATTAGTTGAAATAATTATATTGTTTGTCAATAAAAGTTAGATATTATCAAAATTTTTGATAACTCAAATACCAGTCAGTATATTTGGATCAAAATTAAAATACTGATGCCTTAGGGACAAAGGACTCCACTCAAAAAGAATTTTCCAAGATGGCAACTGAATTCAAAATGGCTGCCATTTTTTGGTAATCTCTGATCTAATCTACCAGTCAATGGATTTGGTTCAGATTTATATGCTGGTGCCTTATGGTGGACATAGCACCCTACACAAACACCCAAGGAACACCCTTAAACAGTATTTAACCACCTACCCGCTCTATGATTTACATTTACACTTGAACTGTTGCACAATTGAGATGAAGTTAAAGTAATTAAAGAAAGAATCAGATATAGCGAGCAGGCTAAACAAAAAATTGTTTCAATTTTAGAATATTTTTGGCTCATGTCATTCCTTGTCATGTCTATTTTCTAAAAATCACAAAAGTGCATACTTTATTCCAGGAAAACTAAAGATTTTTACAATAATGTACTATTTTTTTCTATAAGAATGGTAACCATTCTTATTATTTGAGAGAATTTAAACATTTTTCACTCATTTTTGCACTTTGAATCATTAATAACTTCACCAATTTATAACAGATCGTAAATATTTTGGGAGATATTGTATTTGATATTGTAAGGAATAGATTGGTAGGTCAATTATATGTTGCTTGTAATTTTGTCACCCCCTATAGATCAGATTCTGCCTTTAAGTAATTCTTTATACAGGGTGTCAAATAAGTCCCGTCCCCCCCTCTACAGCCAAAACCAAGATATTTGGTACCAAGTGTGATATATCATTGGAAAGGTCTTCCAAAGTTACGTTGATTGGCATATATCTGACACATGTCAATCAATCTCACAAATTTTTACATTGTATTAATTGAGGTGACCATATGCCTAGAAATATGGCAATTTGGCGTATTTGGCAGGATTTTAAGAATCTGGTATAAGAAAGGTCAAGGGACCAAAAGATGACTAAATATGTTTATGGCGATGAATTTAACCAATTTCTGGATAGGGTTAGATGTGTATTAATAGAGGTGCAAGGAAAGTGGTGAAAACCTTTTTGTAACAAGTGGAATGCGAAAAAGATTAACTTTTTGACGTATTTCTGAGGTCATATCCTTGTCATTTTGACGCAAAAAAGCTACATAAAGGAGGGCACGTTAACTATAAAAGACATCATTAAAATATAAGTAAATTTCATCCAAAATACTTGAGAGTTGGTGAGTTAACATAACTTTGGATGATCTTTCCAATGGTATATCACACTAGGTACTGTCTGTTAAGGTGCAAGCTGTAGCAGGGGGGACGGGACTTATTTGACACCCTGTATATTTAGATATCTAGAGAACCAATGTATTATCTTCCAGTGGTTCCCTAAGCTGTAAATAAGGTGAAGTTCATTGTTGAGAGCAGTGTTGCAATCAACGTTAAGGCCAATTCTAAGTCAATTATTTGTATATCACCCTATGCAGACAGAGCCTGTGGGAAATATTGGGTGCGGCGCAAATGAGCGGAGGGTGCGGAGCTAACGGTCATTTTTGAATTTTAAATTGGGATATTTCTGAAACTAAGCCGTTTTGGGACTTCAAATATACCAAGATATGTGTATTTGACACCAAATATCAATAAAATTGTGAAAATAGTAGTGCAATTCATTTTATAGCGACGCAGTATGCCTTAAACATTTCCCAGACCTATATATTTTGAGACTATCCTTTTAATACTGCGTCCCCGGCATTCATAAAAAATGGTGTTCAAGATACACTACCCATGCAAATTAGTTTTGCATCTTGGAAGCCAGGCAGTATCTGTGTGATTTTATAAAAATTCGGAAATGTTCTTGAGATATGAGCCCCCTCTAAATATTGGGTGGGGAGGTACGTTTATGGAGCTGCTCCGCACCCAATATTTAGAAGGGGCTCATATCTGAAAAACATTTCCGAATTTTTATGAAATCACACAGATACTGCCTGGCTTCCAAGATGCAAAAATAATTTGTATAGATAGTGTTCCTTGAACACCATTTTTTATGAATGCTGGGGACTCAGTATTAAAAGGATAATTTCAAAAGATATAGGTCTGGGAAAGGTTTAAGGCACACTGCGTCGCTATAGAATGAATTGCGCTACTATTTTCACAATTGTATTGATATTTGGTGTCAAATACACATATCTTGGTATATTTGAAGTCCCAAAACGGCTTAGTTTCAGAAATATCCCAAATTTAAATTCAAAAATGACCGTTAGCTCCGCACCCTCCGCTCATTTGCTCCGCACCCAATATTTCCCACAGGCTCTGTCTGCATAGGGTGTATATATGAAAACCTAAAACACTTTTTACCAAGTAAAGCAATTCAAAATTTGAGATGGTTGGTGCTTTTCTTCATACATTTATCTAAAAAGCCAATATATTATCTTATTCCAGTGGTCCCTTATGCTGTAAATAAGGTGAAGCTCATTGTTGAGAGCAGTGTTGCAATCAATGTTACTTGGGAGCCAAATGGAGATAAACCAATCAATCCAATCATGTACAGAGTTCTATATAAGAGAGATGACCAGCCTCAATGGCAGGTAAGGCCATTCAAAGTAAATCATGTTTGTTAACACCCTAAAAAAGGTAGGGTGGGAGGTGAAAAAAACAAATTTATTTTTCTTTTATTCGGTGTACTTAGGATATTATATCATTCAAAAATTCAAAAAAGCATAACACTTTCAAAGGTTGTGATTTATAAAGTGACTTGCATTCACATGAACTTTTTAATAAAGACAAAACTGAAGCTGAAACACAAGTAGTTGTCAATCAGGGGACTTATTTCATACCTTTCTAAGATCATACAGTTTCTGTTGTCATTTGAATTCATTATAGTCTGGAAGAAATATGGGGTATTTTGAGGATCAATCGTTTTCTTCGTATTACAATGTTTTTTGAACTATTCAGCATGAATATAGGGTTGGGACCTCAAAACCACTGAATGCCGGAGCGGCACACTTGGGCAACTCTCTACAGAGCATTTCTTATACCCCCTAATAAAATCTACAGGGGGTACTATAAGACACCTTTATATCTCAAACACTAATAAAGATATAGACTTGAAATTTTCAGGAAGTATTTTTATTATGATGCTTAATATGTATGGTGAAAATCAAGAAAAAATATTAATCCGTTGCTATAGCAACAGTTATAGAACACTATTTGTTACCTTAGAAATGTATTATTTTGTGTGTTTTCATCATTTTCTTCATATTCTTGGTTCTTACACTCTCTGAAGCATATAGCATGATTAGAAGTGAAGATAAAATAATTCATCATATCATTTATGTAATATGTCTAATATTTCAGTTGCTATGGCAACATCGCTTGATAATCAGGTTCTTACATTTCACTTTCTTTAATGAGTATAAAGGTAGGGTCCAAAATAACACTTATGTGTTATGCTCTCTAGGTAAAGAAGAGCTCCTTTAGAGGTTAATAGTCACATGAATTTGTAAAAAATGTATAACTTGTAGTTGTAGAACCCCTCCCCACAGCCCCCAAAGTTTGATGATTGGTGAAAACTGGAAAAAAACGTTCATTTTCTAGGTTCAAATTAAAAATGCATTGGGATGCAACACTTATTAGTATTCAAGGAACATCTTCTGACTTTGTCTGATATAACAATGTGAAGATCTTAATTGTTAGACAGTGGGAAGTATTTTATTTGAAACATTTTAGAATCCTATCCCATGAAAATGCTGAAAAGAGGGTGTGGTCAATTTTACCATTTTGCAGCATTAAAAGTTTGAAATAAATACAAACTAAGGCATTAAAACATATTCAAATGTTACTTGACATTGATTCATGTATCACGTGTATATAGGACACTAAATTTTATATGTAAATTTTGTATTTAGTGCATTTCCAAGGTAACAAATAGTGTTCTATTACTGTTGCTATAGCAACGGATAAAAATATTTTCTTAAATTTTTGTCATACAGATCGAACATCATACTTAGAATACTTCCGGGTGTCTACAAAACAAAGACCTAAGACCTAAGACCTACAAAACTAAGACCCCCCACGTTATAAAACCAAGACCCTGTTATAAAACTAAGACCCCCCACGTTATAAAACTAAGACCCTGTTATAAAACTAAGACCCCCCACGTTATAAAACTAAGACCCTGTTATAAAACTAAGACCCCCCACGTTATAAAACTAAGACCCTGTTATAAAACTAAGACCCCCCACGTTATAAAACTAAGACCCTGTTATAAAACTAAGACCCCCCACGTTATAAAACTAAGACCCTGTTATAAAACTAAGACCCCCCACGTTATAAAACTAAGACCCTGTTATAAAACTAAGAACCCCCACGTTATAAAACTAAGACCCTGTTATAAAACTAAGACCCCCCACGTTATAAAACTAAGACCCTGTTATAAAACTAAGACCCCCCACGTTATAAAACTAAGACCCTGTTATAAAACTAAGACCCCCCACGTTATAAAACTAAGACCCTGTTATAAAACTAAGACCCCCCACGTTATAAAACTAAGACCCTGTTATAAAACTAAGACCCCCCACGTTATAAAACTAAGACCCTGTTATAAAACTAAGACCCCCCACGTTATAAAACTAAGACCCTGTTATAAAACTAAGACCCCCCACGTTATAAAACTAAGACCCTGTTATAAAACTAAGACCCCCCACGTTATAAAACTAAGACCCTGTTATAAAACTAAGACCCCCCACGTTATAAAACTAAGACCCTGTTATAAAACTAAGACCATCTGAGCAATCAGACTATGATGGTTATCATGAATGAGTTCAGTTCTTTATGTAAGTTTAATATTTAGTACATCTATGTGTGGCATAATCTGGACATTGGCATAAAGTCAACACATAAGCATCACAGCACAGTAGAGAGGTTGGCATATTCTAGATATTGGCATTATGTCTAATTATCACAATCAATATTAGTTTTTCTCATCTGAGCAAAGACTATGATGGTTATCATGAATGAGTACAGTTCTATATGTAAGTTTTATATTTACTACATGTATCAAAATGAAATCTAATAATGGTATCATACAGTAGAGAGGCTGGCATAGTCTAGACATTGGAAAAATGTCTAATTATTACAACCATTAGTTTTTCTCATCTGAGCAATCAGACTATGATGGTTATCATGAATGAGCACAGTTCTTTATATAAGTTTTATATTTAGTACATGTATCATAATGAAATCTAATGTTATGCAGAGAGGCTGACATAGTCTCGACATTGGCATAATGTCTAATTATTAAAACCATTAATTTTTCTCATCTGAGCAATCACAGTATGATGGTTATCATGAATGAGTACACTTCTATATGAAAGTTTAATATTTAGTACATGTATCATAATGAAATTTAATGAAATGTAACCATATAATAGAGAGGTTGGCATAATCTGGACATTGGCATAAAGTCAACACATAAGCATCTCATCTCATTAGGCAGAAGTCGGTGGTTATCATGAACAATTGTATCCTGATATGTTGGGTCAGTCATTTTGGCCATACCTTTCTTATCCTTTTCTTTCCAATCAGCAGCGTCGTTTACAATGTGCAAAGTATGGCAAAAATTTGTATTATATAAAACACTCAGTTCTCATCATCTGAACAAATAGCAGAGTCCTTGTTAAGCTATTTATCAGAGCCAGGTGTTTGAAAAGAAGCTAAAAAGATTAAGGTAAATCACTAAAGATGATGTCTTCAAATTTTCAAGACTACTTACAGGCAGTTACAGCCAGGCTGTTCAGCAGGGTCATTCACAACAAGAAAATCATGGTTCTCATCATCTCAATATATAGCAGAATCCTTGTTAAACCATGAAGCATCAGAGTCACATGGTGGAAAGTAGCTAGTGTGAGTGAGTGTGCTCGTGTGAGGTGGCATCTTTGTGTGTGGAGCAAACTGTTTCTGGAGTTAGTGGCAAGTTAACGATCTGACCACGAATGAAGAAGCAAATTTTGGCTGCAACGTCACACCTGTAACTATGAGCAATAGCAAACCTGGTCAGACTTAATGCATATTGCTGCTTGGTTGACCAATGGAAAGCCATCTTTAGTTGTTTTCAATAATCAACATTTTTGCTACTTTTCAAACACCTGGCTCTGAATTGTGAATGATTCTGCTATATGGGTTGTAAAGGATTCCAATGTCTGGATTGTATGCAAACCTTGCTAGTCTCCACTGTATGATTGCATTGGATTTCAGACTTGTACTAAATACAAGATTAACATATAAAATATAGTGTCCTATATACTTAACATTTGAAGATGTTTTAATGTCTTGGTTTGTATTTATTTCAAACTTTAAATGCTGCAAAATGGTAAAATTGACCACACCCTCTTTTCAACATTTTTATGGGATAGGATTCTAAAATGGTTCAAATAAAATACTTCCCATTGTCTAATAATTAAAATCTTCATATTGTTATATCACACAAAGTCAGTGGATGTTCCTTGAATACTAATAAGTGTTGCATCCCAATGCATTTTTAATTTGAACCTAGAAAATGAAAGTTTTTTTGCCAGTTTTCACCAATCGTCAAACTTTGGGGGCTGTGGGGAGGGGTTATACAACTACAGGTTACACATTTTTTACAAATCCATGTGACTATTTACCTCTAAAGGAGCTCTTCTTTACCTAGAGAGCATAACACATAAGTGTTATTTTGGACCCGACCTTTATACTCATTAAAGAAAGGGAAATGTAAGAACCTGATTATCAAGCGATGTTGCCATGAAATGCTGTGTAGAGAGTTGCCCAAGGGTGCCGCTCCGGCATTCCGTGGTTTTGAGGTCCCAACACTATATTCATGCTGAAAAGTTAAAAAAACATTGTAATCCGAAGAAAACGATTAACTTTGAACTTTCTGCCAGAATATTATAAGTGCATGTAAGGAATCTATATAAAACTTTTCTCCTTTTAGAAAATATGATTGGAAATTTAAGGATATTAATTTTTGACATAGATACAGGGCTAGGCACAGTTAGGTAGGCACTTATGTTTATAATACACGCTTTTGAGCATTTTTGTTAACTAGAAGTTGATTTTTCAGAATGCTGGTGAGACAGACAGGACTTGGTTTCTTGTGGAAGGGCTACACCCATATCAAAACTACACTTTTGATGTGTCTGTTAAGGTCGCCTCTAGGAATAGCTCTGATCCTGAAGCATGGAGTGACAGTAAACAGGATAAAGCAAGGACTAAACAAGATAGTGAGTCACCATTGTATGGCCTAGTCTTGATATGTCATGTAAACTAAATAATTAATAATTGTTCAATCAAAATCAATATTCAAATATGTTTTTGCTGGAATATTGACTCTTTCAAATAGGCTAGTAACAACAGGGACTTACAAACTGATTACAGTACTATTCTTTCAACCAATCTTCACTCTTTCCTTGCAAACTGGTTAACTTCAGCAATTAGCATCCCACTCAGATCATGTAGACAGGTCTTGTTAAGCAACAGAATTCTAAGTTAGACATCCATTTATTTTCACTTGTGTTTATTTCAGTCCCTGCAAGAGGGCCAGGCGTCCATGGAGGTGGATTTGAAATAAGAGATGTAAATCCATCAGATTCCACCCGAACAGTTGTTGTGTATTGGGAGGTAAGCTTAAGAAAAACTCATAATTTTGCTGAATTTAACACTTATCCCATGTTATTGTTAATTAGATGTGAACGACCGAACGACTAGATTTGTGGTGTACGTCAATTTATTCACTTTACAGAGCCAGAGGGGCTAGAAACAAATCATAACAAGCAATTACAATATAATAATAACATTGCATGGAATGGCATTGGCAAGGCTTATCAATATTACAGTATGAAATGGCATTGGCAAGGCTTATCAATATTACAGTACGAAATGGCATTGGCATGTTTATTTGAAACACAATCTAATTTGACTATTTTACATTTGACAACATGAATGCTAACTTAATTGAATGTTTGGCATGTTAACTTACAGAACTGGCTCTTGCTTTGAGCTTGAGGGAAATGTGGGAACCAATGGTGGTGAATCTGTGGCCTAACACACTGCCTGAATAAAAATTACAATACATTTCTAAGTTGACAAAAATACCATAAATGATTGGTAAAATATCAGAAATATGTGTTGTATTTAATCAAGTAATATCTAATAAAGCATATAAAAGTAAAATAAAGAGTGGATGGCTTACCAATATGAACGATTGTGGATGATTTTGTAGATTTTCTGGAGAGGTAAAAATATATATGTGGCTATTGTAGTGACTGTAAGCAAGAGGAAGTTGCACATTTATGTGCCAGCTATTTATGTGAATTGAAACATGAAATCTATATAGTGCCATCTATAAATGCAACTATAAACTTTAAAGTGCAGCTGGTCACATCCACGCGGACAACGTTGACAGACCATCACAGTTAAATATTACTTTGTTTTTATGACCAAAAGTGTACATGGTTATACAATTCTAAAGTTAAATGATGATGAATTCTGAGAATTATGCCTTTAAAACATATGCCATTAAAAGTAATGCTTTTTACATAAATGAATGCCAAAATAATGCCTTAATATGCCATTTTACATTTTAATACAAAATGTGTTGCCATTTACTGGCTTTTTAGCCCAAAATGTACACCCCAAAATACAAAAATACCTTAACTATGTGCAACTATGTACATACCGGCGCGCAAAACACTATTGCTTCAGAATATATTTGTGGTTTTAGGCCACTTATGAAATTGAAATACATTAAGAGCAAGTTGTGTTATCGTAATATGTAATTCATACACTTTTTATGTGCATTTTAATTGGTTTATAATATCATACACTTTATATGTGCATTTTTAAGATCATTAATTCAAAAATGGGCTTACATGTATAAGTGATCCATATTTGTAATTAGTTATATTAGGCAACACAATAATAGTAATATTAATGTAAAAACTCCTACATTACCGACCAATTAAGATAAGTAATTATACTGTCTACCGACCAATTAAGGCAAGTAATTTTACTAACATAACCGACCAATTAAGGCAAGTAATTTTACTGATATATCTTCTCATACAATTAATACTATGTATATGTTAACCTATCAGGCTTTTGTCTTATTCTTGTTGACCTTCGCAGAGCGGATGGGTCCTCCTCCTCCCTCTGATTTTTTGAAAAAAGTAAAATTTCAAAACTGCCATCAGAACTAGAGTCATCACTGTCACTTTCAGAAGTTGTAGATTCATTTCCACTAGATACTTCATGGTCAACGTCATCAGAATCCGAAGTATCGTCATTAGATGTAGCATATAACTTCAAGTTTTTTAAATTCACAACCTTCACTTTCTCAGTACCTTGACAAATTTTGTAGACATTGCCACCCAAATTTTCTGTTACAATCCAAGGATCAGAGGAAAATGCATCCTTTATCTTACAACGACCTATATAATGCCTTTTCAATAAAACAAGGTTTCCAACATTTAAATGTTTCATTGTTCTGTAAGGCTTCTTTCTATTTTCTACCTTTTTACTCATTTTGTCTGATGCAATCTTGTAAGCTTCTGTCTGTCTTTGGTGTTGGAGTTCAGGCCAAGAAGGTTTATTATGGTCCTCTTCCTCATCCATGATGTCAGTCGGTAAGTTTGGTTCCCTGCCAAACATAAGGTAGAAAGGACTGTAACCTGTTGTTGAGTGTGGTGTTACATTATAGGCAAAATTTAGTTCAGACAGATAACACTGCCACTTAGACTTTTTCTCTTGTTCAAGAGTTTGAATCATACTAATCAGAGTTTTATTATATCTTTCAACTTGGCCATTGCCCATAGGATTATAAGCAGTTGTGCGTGATTTGGATATACCATATAATGAACACATTTTGGCTATAACTTGACCCTCAAAATTGGGTCCCTGGTCACTGTGCAAACGCTTCATGATCCCATATTTTGTAGTCCAGTTGTTGATAAGACATTTCGCCACATTTTCAGCTTTCTGATTTCTCAATGCAACAGATATAGAAAATTTTGAAAATACATCAGTAATGACAAGAATATCTTCTATACCAGCATCAGATTGATCAATTTTAAGAAAATCTATGCACACAACTTCATTGGGGGACTTTGCTGTTATAGTTCCAAGAGTACATCTTTTGTTATTTAATGGTTTGGCAATAGTGCACCTTTTGCAAGTACCTACATACCTATCAACAGACTTCTTCATGTTTGGCCAATAGTATTTTCTCTTTATTAGTTCTAGAGTTCTTTCTGCTGCCTGATGTCCTAAATGATCATGCATTCCTTTCATTATGATATTTTCAAGTTCCGATGGTACGACCAGTTGGCATAAGGGTTCTCCTCTGATGATAATCTTTCTGTATAAAACTCCTTGATCTAAAATAACTCTCTTCTTCTGTCTCAGCAATGTTTTAGATCTGCTATCAAGTTGATGAGTTAGTGTAGGCTTAGTGACTAACGATTTCTTGAGCAATGATATACCAATATCATTTTCTTGCATCTTTATCATTGACTGGATAGATATTGTGTCAAAAAGAGGGGTACTGAGTATATTTTCATCCTGGACGTCAGTAGCATTAACATCTATACTAGAGCTGTTCATGGCGTTATCCGGTATCGTCACTTTTGTAGTTTTGGTTATTTCAGTGATAACTTGATTAACCTTTTCACTAGAGATGTCTTCTATGTTTGGCTTGTATTCTAAACCTTCAACAGAATCTGAGTCTTCAGCTTCTGTCTCATCTCCTTCAGATTGTAGTCTTGAAAGTATATCTGCACCTCTGTTAGTAGTGCCTGGATTGTATTTGATGTCAAAGTTAAATGGAGCTAATTCTCCAACCCATCTTTGTTCCACTGCAGACAGCTTGCTGGTTTTGAGATGTGTTAATGGGTTGTTGTCTGTAAATATAGTAAACTTGCTCCCCAGTAAATAGTCGCGAAACTTTTCAGAGACTGCCCATTTCATGGCCAAAAGCTCAAGTTTTCTGCTACTGAATTTGTGCATACTTTTTTCACCCTTTCGAAGGTTACGATGGGCATATGAAATGATCTTGACTTTCCCATTCTGGACTTGGCTTAGTATGGCTCCCAATCCTGTCAGTGATGCATCTATCTCAACTTTAAAAGGAAGGTTGTAGTCTGCGTATCCAAGTACAGGTGTGCTCATCATTTTCTTTTTCATCTCTTCAAAAGCAGCTTTTGACTTTCCATTAAGTGTTACTTTAATCTTACACTTTGCTCTGGTTTTCTTCTTCTTTGTTCTTTTGTCAGATGGTAGGTTTTCAGTTATCACATCATACAACGGGCTTGCTGTTTTGCCAAAGTCTATAACAAATCTTCTATAAAATCCACAAAATCCAAGGAACGCCTGAACATCTGAAACAGTGGTTGGTTCGGGCCATTTTTCAATCACGCTAATTTTTTCAGGATCCACAGATATTCCTTCTTCAGATAATACATGCCCTAGATATTTGATTTGCTTCTTAAAAAAGAAACATTTTCTAATTTCCAATTTTAATCCATGTTTTCTCAGTTTCTCAAATACATTTTCAAGTTTACGAAGATGTTCATCAATGTCATTTGAGAATACCAGGATGTCATCCAAGAATATCATAAGACTGCTCATGTTTTCCTCATGGAATATGGTTTGCATTAATCTCTGGTAACTGGCTGGGCTATTGGTTAGACCGAACGGCATTCTGTTGTATTCATAGAGTCCAAACTGTGTAGAAAATGCTGTTTTAGCTTTGTCGGCTTCTTCAACTTCGATCTGGTGGAACGCTGATTGAAGATCGAGTGAAGAGAAGTACTTTGCTCCTCTCATGACATCCATGCTTTCTTCAATACGTGGTAGGGGAAATGCATCACGGTGAGTTTTAGAGTTGATAATTCTGTAGTCCACACAAATTCTAAGTGCACCAGACTTTTTCCGGACGCAGACTATGGGACTGGCATAAGCACTGTTGCTTGGGCGAATTATTCCTTTCCTTAACATCTGATCTATTTGTAGTTTGACTTCCTGGATGTAGTTGGGAGGGATCCGTCTGAATGGTTGCTTCACAGGAATGTCATCAGATAATTTTATGCCATGTTTCACTGTAGTTGTATGTCCCAGATCTAAGTCATCAGAAGCAAAGACATCCTCATATTTGTGTAGAAGATTTTGGAATTTTTCTTTATCTTCAGATGTGCCATCAAAATCAATGAGATTGGGCTCCGATATCTTGTCTATTGTGACTTCATTTTCAGGTTGTATCTTGTTTACTGTGACAATGACATCATTGTTTCCATCTTGGAAAAGACTAGATTCTTCTTGAATATCTACTTTGGAGAATTTTCCTAGTTTTGTTCTTCTATACAGGGTGACTGGAGATTGGCTGATATTGATGAGTCTAGCAACAGCTTTGTTATTTGTAACTTCAACTAATGTGTTCATAATTTTGATGTTTCCAGGTGTAGGGGTGTTGATATTCTCGATTAGACCAACTCCTGTACGGCCATGGACAGTCAATACGACATCAGCTTCACAGTTTGCTGGAATCACTGTTGTCTCATAGACACGTGCTGCTTGTGGTTTAAGGTTGAAGTCCTCATCTGGCTTCTGGGTATCATCGGTGCACAATATATGTTTAAACATTTTCAGATGTTTCAGGATATTTGTTCCAAGGATTCCAACCCTTGCAGTTGATTTATTATTCTTGTTTTCAGGATCTTTTTGCACTATTATGTTTGCATCTTTGATTTTTGTGCCAGCAACCTCAATATCGACCACGATAAAACCAATGTATGGAATAGGAGTATGGTTGGCAGCTACTAAATTAATGAAGCAATTTTCTATATTTGATTGCCCTTTTAGATGTTGATTATAGTAGCTTTCATATATCAGTGAAACTCGGGAACCTGTATCAACCAACATTGAAATTGTGTCATTGTTATTAATGCTTGTATGTATAAGGGCTTCATTACCAATAAGGTTTTCCGAGAAGGTAGTCTCATTATCTGATTTATGATGCATTTTGTTGGATTCAATTGAAGACTGCCCCTCCACTTTTTTGTTAGTGGGGGGCAAAACTAGTTTTTTGGCTGCTGTTGTGTATATGTACTTTGTGTTGTGTCCTTGTTTTTATTGTAGAAACAGCGTTCAATGGCGTGCCCCCATCGACCACAATGTGTACACTTTGTTCTGCTTCTATTAGTTTCCTGACGTATTTCTTGCTTCAGTTCCTGAGTAAGAGATTGGAGCTTTGTATTAAGATCGGCTGTTACTTCAGTTTTGATATCATCTTTAATAGTTTCAACGTAATTCTGCATGCCGTCAGTGAGTTTTTTGATTTCCTTGAAGTTTTGCTCAATCATGTTGCTCATCTTCGATTCAATATCTCTCAGGGATGTGGCAATGGCAGATACTTCGATGTCTGGGTCGTTAGTAGAAGCATCATTACATGGAACATCCTTAGTATATTGTGATGCAAATATTTTCATATCTCTGAATGAAGCATCAGGATGATCACGTAAATATTTGTGTAGTTCCCACTTCAACTGCGGTACTGAAAGGTTTTCGATGAATTGTTCTTTGAGGATGTTGTTCTGTTCTGTTGCAGTAAGAGGTATTTCGGTGGCTTTTTGCCATTTATCCATCAATTTAGTGAGGGACAAAATATACTGCATCACACTTTCATTTGGTTTTTGTTTTCGGGTGTAAAATTTAGATTTTAATACACCAGGTGCCTCTTTTTGATCAAATGTCAATTCAAGGGCATCAAATATTTCATCTATGGTTTCCAGCTGATCATTCTTGACTGCTAGTTTTGCTTCCCCCTTTAGGTGGTACATCAGTAGGTCTATGTGTTCCTCTTCATCCTTGTACCTCAGGTAATTTATCGCATCTTCCTTCCACTCCTGAAAGTCTGTCTTGCCTTTAAAAAAGTCTAGTTTCTTCCGCTCCGGAATGACCATTTTATATGGTTTGCTTATATCTTTCAATTGGGTTTCCATCTCCTTTCGTGATTTTTCCAACTGTTTAGCCTTGAGTTCAGCTTCCTTTCTGATGTGGTCCAGTCGGAGTATCTCCTCATCTTGCTGTTTCTTTTCCTTTTGCAGCCTCATGTACGCCTCTTTGTATTTGTCCTCACTTGTTGGTGTAGCCATCCTTATGTGCGTATTGTACTCAATTTGTATCAATAAAGTATGATAGTAGTATATGTACTATTTTTGTAATACCAGGTATACGTGATGTGTGAAATAATTTGAAACACCCTATAGTTAAAGTATAACTCTATAATTAATAGAGTTAAAAAACTATTAAAACCAGGTATATGTTTATAGTTGTATGAAATATTTTAAGACACTCTGTAGTAGAAAGATTGTAAGTATAACTCTATATTAACAGAGTTAAAAATCTACAACACCTGGTATAAGTTTATAACTGTATGAAATAAGTTGGGACACCATGTAGCAATAAGGATGGTAAGTATAACTCTATAATCAATAGAGTTAAAAATCAGCAACACCTGGTGTAAGTTTATAATAGTATGAAATAAATTGGGACACCCTGTAGCAATAAGGATTGTAAGACTACCGCTATATAAGCAGAGTTAAATATCTGCAACACCTGGTATAAGTTTATAACTGTATAAAATAAATTGGAACACCCTGTAGCTATAAGGATGTAAGTATACCTCTATATAAACTGAGTTGAAAATGTAGGACACCAGGTAAACTGTGTGAAATAAATTGGAACACCCTGTAGTAATAAGGATTGTAATACTTCCTCTATATAAACAGAGTTGAAAATGTAGGACACCAGGTAAACTGTGTGAAATAAGTTGGGACACCCTGTAGTTTTAAGAATTGTAAGACTATCTCTATATAAACAGAGTTGAAAATGTAGGACACCAGGTACACTGTGTGAAATAAATTGGAACACCCTGTATTTGTAGAGTGGAACCGAATTTGAATAATCTACTACAAGGTTTTTTTTATGTTTGGGCAACCTTAGCCTAACTATGAAACCTAACCTAGCCTAAGTGAAAAAAAAATTTTGATCACCTTGTGTTACCTTGAAGCTAATATTTAAAAACTACCCTGTACTTGAGATGATTTGATTTTTACACTAATACCGGCATGACACAGTTGCACATGTAAGGTTTACAATAACACTTGGGTACTTCATACACAAATACCTGCTTAAAATATACCTGGTCAGCAGTACATATATGCAAGACGATATAATACCTGTATGTACTTTAATATGAATTCAATAAATGGGGATAAACTGAAGTTCAATTATCAATGCACACTGAATCAGCAAGAATTAATACAGCTGTGTAGTACAGTGTCAATGTTTCTCAACCTGCAATCAGCTGATTTAGAACTTGGATAACTATCAGTTCAGTTGATCATAATTGTCGAATATCAAGAGTCAATAATGTACATGTGAATTTTCACCTTTTCAACCTAATTGTTAAATTGCTGAATATCAGAGTTCATGTGAATATCAATGTTCATGTACATTTTCACCTTTTCAACTTTAAAAATTGAATATCAGAGTTCATGTGAATATCAATGTTCATGTACATTTTCACCTTTTCAACTTTAAAAATTGAATATCAGAGTTCATGTAAATATCAATGTTCAACCTAATTGTTGAATTGCTGAATATCAGAGTTCATGTGGATATCAATGTTCATGTACATTTTCACCTTTTCAACTTTAAAAATTGAATATCAGAGTTCATGTAAATATCAATGTTCAACCTAATTGTTGAATTGCTGAATATCAGATCAGAGTTCATGTGAATATCAATGCTCAACCTAATTGTTGAATTGCTGAATATCAGATCAGAGTTCATGTGGATTTTCATGGATTAGGACCACTGTGACTTGTATTGTCACTCTGTAGGTTTTGGCTGTTCTAGTGTTCACATTTGAGGGTAACTCTGATATTGAATATCATGATAATCAATTATACATTACATATCTGTTGTTGACTTCGGGATGCTGCATATACAGTACATCTGTTATCATCTGTAACGTGATTGTCGATCTTAGTTGTCCAATCTTGGTTGTCGAATATCGGTTCAATCTCGGATATTGAATCTCGGTTGTGGAATCTCGAACCTGGAATCTCGGTTATCGAATCTCGAACCTGGAATCTCGGTTATCGAATCTCGAACCTGGAATCTCGGTTATCGAATCCCTGACATGGAATCTCGGTTGTGGAATCTCGGACCTGGAATCTCGGTTATCAAATCTCGGACATGGAGTCTCGGTTGTCTATCCCAGATATAGAATCCCGGTTGTTGGATTACAGTTCTTCTCTGGCTCTGCACTTTGTTGTTGTTGTTGTTAGCCCGCAGTACCATATGTGAACGACCGAACGACTAGATTTGTGGTGTACGTCAATTTATTCACTTTACAGAGCCAGAGGGGCTAGAAACAAATCATAACAAGCAATTACAATATAATAATAACATTGCATGGAATGGCATTGGCAAGGCTTATCAATATTACAGTATGAAATGGCATTGGCAAGGCTTATCAATATTACAGTACGAAATGGCATTGGCATGTTTATTTGAAACACAATCTAATTTGACTATTTTACATTTGACAACATGAATGCTAACTTAATTGAATGTTTGGCATGTTAACTTACAGAACTGGCTCTTGCTTTGAGCTTGAGGGAAATGTGGGAACCAATGGTGGTGAATCTGTGGCCTAACACACTGCCTGAATAAAAATTACAATACATTTCTAAGTTGACAAAAATACCATAAATGATTGGTAAAATATCAGAAATATGTGTTGTATTTAATCAAGTAATATCTAATAAAGCATATAAAAGTAAAATAAAGAGTGGATGGCTTACCAATATGAACGATTGTGGATGATTTTGTAGATTTTCTGGAGAGGTAAAAATATATATGTGGCTATTGTAGTGACTGTAAGCAAGAGGAAGTTGCACATTTATGTGCCAGCTATTTATGTGAATTGAAACATGAAATCTATATAGTGCCATCTATAAATGCAACTATAAACTTTAAAGTGCAGCTGGTCACATAGATAACAGTAATTTTTAAATCTGTCGTAATAAATATACATTGTGTATAAAAAATATACATTGTGTATAAAAAATATACATTGTGTATAAAAAAAAAACATTGATATTTAGTTGAAAATGATCATCCATCCCTATATTTGCCTATATTTTATCATAAGTTTAATCAGACTTGAAAAATATTGACAACTTCCCTTGTTGCTTTAGCCTGTTGTACCAGTATATAGATACCATATACAAATTGAATCTTGTCTGTTGTATACAGGTATATGGTATAAACTCAACCTTTATACTATTTTATTGAAGGATATCCCACAAGAAGATAAGAATGGTATCCTTATAGATTGCCGTGTACGTGATGTGTCAGAAGATGGTCCTACAGTCTCATATAATGCTGCAACTCTGTGTGTTGTTCCTGCAGATAGGAACATGTGCTCCACCACATTAAAACAGGACCGGGCATACAGATTGGTAGTTGAGTGTAGAACTGAAGTTGGGTATAGTTCTAACTCACAAAACTTTATTGAAGTACCCAGAACTGAAAAAGGTAATAAGTGAAAATGAACTCATTGCTGTGAAACTGTCAAGTAGAGCAATATTAATACCAAAGGTTCCAAGTTATAAAAATTAGGGTTCTTCAGAAGGACATATTTCTGTATTAGGGAGGTTAAGATTAGCGTAAAAATATACGTGTACCTATCCCTATCCGTATGTTTGTTACGGATACTTTTCGGTAATGCGTATTGCAAAATGAGTTTAAGATTAACGTAAAAGGCTACGAAACCGTATGCTACAATTTATGATAAAATTAACTCCTAATCATAGAATAAAAACCATGCGATGGCTTATATGGCATATACCAGTACATCTCACCTCCAAGAACTGTTATATACTTCAGAGAGTGTGTGGTGTAGCTACTGTAGTTGGGAGGGGATGATGCTTGAGGGTCCACTAATGGGGCAGTGACTTAAGCCGAAATGTTAAATTTCTAGCATGATCTAGCAATGAGAGTGGCCAAATAGTAAAGTTAAACAATTAAAACTACGATATAATGGCTGATTTCATACATTTACAATAAGCAAAACTGATGAAGAATTTGTAAATTCAACAATTTCATGCATCATCACATGGCATCGTTTATCGCATCAATGAATGTGTTCGACCACTTAATTTCTATGCAGATCGAATGAGAAACGTTTGGTATTACTATTTTAAAGTTTAATGGATGATATTTGATCTAGAAATGACACAATTTGTTTGATAAAAACATACGTTTTCGAATTACCTATCTTCGGCCATTTATAGGTAATTACGTATCGTAAACCCTGTAACTTAGGTAAAATACCGCTTAGTGTAATAACAAACTACGTATAGGTATAGGTAAATGGGTTATTTACGCTAATCTTAAACTCCCTATTTTCTGGTGTTTAGTTTACTGAAGTTATTGTGAAGAACATAACCTGAATAAAAATATTAAGGCTAAAATATTCATTTCTGTCTCTTTACGGATGTTAGATTATTTTTATTAAATTATGTGTATGCATTTCTAGTATGCTGCTATCTAACAAGATTTCTGATAAATTTGATGTCATTGTCTCATGAGCTCACTTATACATGTAGGCTAATAGCAAGGATAGTAGCATTAGTTCAAAACTGAATCCTTACTTGCCAAGCAAAGAACACAGTAAGGCTTGTCAAGGCATACAAATTAAGACATGCATGGCATTAAAATCATAGAGAATATGAGTTGATGACATCAGTTCCTGTAGGGTATCTTTAAAGGGTGACGCATATCGTTTAGCAAATCGAACGCTCGTTTCTGGTGTTGCTCACCGTTTAGTATAAAAGGCCCGATCCCGGAATAATACTCAAGGGTTCACAGGTTCGAGGTCGTTGTGTCAACACCTCTAACTGTTATATAGCATAAGTATATTATAGATCGTCACACATTTATAAAAGGGTGATTTTTATTTTGACAAATCAATTCCACATTTATGGGTGAAGTTTCAGGATCTTCTATTTGTGTATAATAAGGAAAAATTGGCATCTAAATTTCCCCATAACGTAATAGCACACAGCTTGGCATATGAAATATCCTACAAATGAAACACAGCAAGACAAACCGGTTTCTAATACAAGAATTTATATTGGCTGTTGTACATGCATTATTTGAATCACTCTTTGGATAACGTTTTCAAAATCATTATAAACGGATTACTTTATCTCAAAGACAATTTCAATAACTGGATTTTACAGAACTCCCCTTATTTCTTAAAAATGGACTGATCCAGTTGATTCGCCTGGAGCCGCCATATTGTTTTTATACGGGATGCTAATCGGAACCCTTTAAATGTCATGCAGTGTGAAAAGAAGCAATTTAATCGAACCTTAAACTATTTTTCATAGTTTTAGAAGTATTATTGATACTTTAGAATCTGGATATACCTACAATTTCAAGGCTGCAACAGAGTATGAAGGAATGTCCCATTAAATATGATATGAATTCATTTTTAGAAATGGATCATTGAATAAAGTAATAAAAATTGATGCTTTTTCATAATTACCTCTTGTATAAGACAATTAATCAATTTAATCATTTTTCCAGTGTTCCCTGTTAAGCAACTAGTGGCCTTCAGTAATGTAAATAACATTACAGTGACATTCAATATTGGACAGTCAGAAAAAGCAACTATAGTTTATTGTCCAAGAGTAGCATTCAATGACAAAGTTTGCAATGAAAAGGTGAGTAGCAGAGGACATACAGTTGATAGTATGTTAGTAAGTTTTTTGCATAGTTAAAGCAACTTGCACATGCAGTCACTTTTATATAAAAGAGATAAATACATGTAGATGAAATGGGGCTTATGTACAGTAAAACCTTTGTTCAGTGAACCCATGGATCCACAAAAATGTGTTCACTATAGGTAGGTGTTCACTACAGAGAAGGAAATAACTTTTCTTGTATTGGACAGATAATATTTTCCTTTACGGGGCATATTTTAATTTAGTATTAGATACATAAGGGTGATATAAAAATTGAACCACTAAAACTAATAATATTTAAGTTAAAAGGAACTTTCTAGTATACCCAGCATGCTATCTGACCCGAATGAGCCACCTGGTAGTGAAACTGGTAACTACCTACTCACACCTGAGTTATTGTAAAATACCTTTGAAGAGAACTTCAGCTCTTGTATCAATTTCGAGTATGCCAATGGACCAGTCTGATTGATCGGAAGCTTGATATATGAAGTTATGTATTTCATGCACATTATTTCAGATACCCATTGTAAGTCAAGTCTTGAAGAATGGGGAAACAAGCCATATGATGAGTCTAGAAGGGGCAACTAATAACTTATATGGTGTGTCAGTATTTAATGGGAAGATCCATTCTGGGATCAACTGGGCAGATTGCTTGTATGATTATTCCATATGTAAGTATAAAAGAAGTCACATGCTAAAAACATCACAGCTCATTATATTACAGAATATTTAGGTTTTAGCCTTTCAGAGGTGTTAATATAAATGGTGACCTAACCAATTGCATGTATCTAATTTTTTGTATTTAAAACAGAGGCCGATCTTTCAAACTAATAGAGAATAAGTTACATACCAACCAATTAAGTTAACAAGGTATGAACCAAATCCCTCAACCACAAATTAATTAAATTGCTTTTGTTGTATTCAGCAAGGGTTGAAGCTCCTAAAGGGGTTGTTGCCATTAATGACTCTGATGTCAGTGAAAGCTTAACTGTCTCATGGGAACCTTATCTATGTAGTGAGATGAAATCTCCAGTCTTAGGATGGACTATCTTCTACTATCCAGAGAATGATATTTCTAATGGTGAGTAGCAGTCTAATGACATAGTCTTCTACACATTAACTTGGAAATAAAATAATTCTGAAAAACTCATGATCATGGAAAACAATTCAGGTCTTGGCTTGCCATAAAGGCACCTCAGCTTATTATGTGATTTGTAAATGTTATGACTGCTTAGTTATTTTATTAAAAATACAATTCAACCTTCAAAATTAATAGGCTATCATATTTATTAATTTGTTGATGCCTTGGCTACACATCTAGCGATTCCTAGAGGGAGCTTACAAGTAATATATAGCACAGTTCCTTTTTCAGTCAAAGAACATAATGTTACCGGAGCAAACAAACTCCGTGAAACAATACCAGGAGTACCAGAGGGTAAATATTGTGTTGAGATGTCATCATACTCTGAGGGAGGTCATCAGAGTTATCAAAGTAAATGTGTGATTGCCACTTCAAGATTCATAGGTAATATTTCTCTTAAATTATATTCACAAAAACTGTTACCATGCATACGCTCCATACAGTCATACCAACAATATTATCTGGCTAAAATTGTACATAAATTATTTAATTTTTTCGCATTTAGCAATTCCATTTGAAGAATCAGTTGATAATTAATCTGAAATTTTCATGGATGCTTCTTAGTATGAAAGTCTAGAACTGAATAGTTTTAGGCATTCTAGGTAAAATCTTAGGTAGCCATCTTGGATCTACATCTACAAGTTTTAAGCCAAACAGTTCGATGGATTGGTCTGAAATTTTCAGGGTGCTTCTTGAAAATTTGCATTCTTTACTTTAATCCCTTACTCAATTGCCCTTTGCATTCGTTTGACTTTGCTTCTCATTTACAATAAATCTCTGAACTCACAGCGCAAATCAGAGTTCGTCGTCGAAATAAGGCCCACTTTTTATATGGTCATTTTCTCTGATGTAATCGCATGATTATTGTGCACGCAATATCAGTCAGTTCGGAAGGTGTAAAATGATTTATGACCTGAGCCGTCACAGGCATCAACCATGGGGGCGGGGCTGCTACATTGTAATATAGTCTATACTAGGCAGAGGGTAGTTTATAACTAGACTCGGCGCGCAGGGTATTACTCAATATTAAAATATTAACAAACTACACTATCATAATATTATTGCCAAACTGGTTTATTAATCCTTCTATTCTTTTCATGTACAATCTTGTTCACCTTGTATTTTCACTTGTAATGTAAGATAACTTCTATCCCATTGATGAAGCAGAATATATATGTGTGATGACATCCATTTATATATTTATGATAATTTCATTGAAAAAGAGCAATATCCGTGCAATACTCCACAATCCAGTTATCATTTTTACATACTTTATTCTACAAATTTGATAATTGCAGCTATACCGCTGTACTGTTTTTGTGAAATATGATTTAATAAGTCACACTTGAAGCATTAGATAAATCACAAATGGTCTGGGTGTACATTGTGAAATGTTGTGTTTTGTGGATTAGGCCATTTAACTTTGTGGATGGATGTCAACCCTTTGATATGCCTATGAACTTAGAGACTAGATTTTGTTTTTGTGTTTGGCAGGTGGTGTTCAGTGTCTGTAAGAAATGGCAGGTGGTGACATTTTGTATGTTATTGCCTTGTTTTATTAATGAGTTGATAGTAATATGAGTAATTTTTATCCATTCATGAGTAATTCATGAGTTGATATTAATATTTTATTCATGAATTGATATTAACATATCATCATATTTATTAATTGATATTAATAAAACATCACAAGGTCACCACAATAAGTGGTCTCCAACTTTTTTGTTGAAGGTGTTCAGTGGTTTGTGATTGCAGTCTGTAACAAATAGGAGGTGGTGACATTTTGTATGTTACTACCTGGTTATTATCCGGAGAGATCCTTACGATCTCAAATATATTATTCGGAGAGATATAGGGAACGCCTCCGTTCGTCCGTCCGTCCGTCCGTCCGTCGTCCGTCCGTCCGTACGTACGTACGTACGTACGTCCGTCCGTCCGTCCGTACGTCCGTCCGTCCGTCCGTCCGTCCGGGCAATAACTCAAATACCATTGGCCCGATTTTATTCATATTTTGTACACATATACCCTATGGGAATAGAAGTTCTGCTTGAAAGCCGATTTTCAAAATGGCCACTCATTTCAAAATGGCGGCCATTTTAGTGCCGAATTTACAGTAATTTAGGTGCAATATGTAAAACTGTAATAGCAATATGTTTTAGAAGTAAAAAAATTATATAGGACATTAATAATGCTAGAAATGTAGATATTTAAGAAGCACATGGCAGCCATCTTGAAAAATGGCGGTATTTACTCGTTATTTTACGATTTTTGCTGTAACTCGAAAAGTAGTGGAGCGATTTTGTTCATATTTGGTATGTGAATACCATAAACATTACACACTGTCTAAAGACACTTTTAGTAGAAGGCGGCCATTTTGAAAAATGGCTGCCATTTTAACGTATTTTACTATAACTCGAAAAGTAGTGGAGCGATTTTGTTCATATTTGGTATGTGAATACTATAAGCATGACACACTGTCCTATGACACTTTTAGTAGAAAGCGGCCATTTTGAAAAAAAGTTTGAAAAATGGCCGCCATTTTAACGTATTTTACTATAACTCGAAAAGTAGTGACGCGATTTTGTTCATATTTGGTATGTGAATACTGTAAGCATGCCACACTGTCTAATGACACTTTTGGTAGAAGGCGGTCATTTTTCAATAGTTGATATCAATATCTGCAAGAGTGCAATGCACAGACATTGACGTGCCACATGGCTAAATTACAGTGTATTGTCATTTACTATTTCTTATTTTTGTAGGCCTGAGACCCTGGCATTGGGGACTAATTGCAATTGGTATTCTTATTGCACTCATACTAGCTGGAATAGGCCTTCGGGCATTTGTGAAGTAAGTATATTTAAAATTATTTTATATTAAATTATTCAATGATTCAAGTAGAATACAGAAAGAATTGTGCCTGAGAAAGTCTGCATTGAGTTGAATAAGAAAATATTGTGCCTGAGAACATCTATATCAAGTAGAATACAGAAAATATTACGCCCCAGAAAGTCTGTATTTCACGAGGCACCAGCCTTTTCTATCTTACATGAGAAATCCTAGAATGATGTTTTTATCCAATGATATTACATATAAGCTGTTTTGAATGGTTTTTCAACAGAAAAAGATGTTTTTGATACCAAAGTGTGTGATCTGGTGATACATCAGTGTAACAAGTGTTTCATCTGGTGATACATCAGTGTAACAAGTGTGTGATCTGGTGATACATCAGTGTAACAAGAATCCTGCACTGGTCACATACAAGATATAGTAATGTCACATAGATCAAACTAATTTCTAGAAATCTCAATTTCATTGTTATTACATCTAGTAAATATCTCATTATTTTTCTTTTTTAAATTTTTTAAAGTTCATTATTATTAATTTTAGACGTGGAAGACAAGGGATTGACTGGTGTAAGAAATCAGCAACACAAGAAATTACTTTGCCAGATGATCATGATAATTTTATGGTTGAAAATGGAATAAATGATAATACTATAGTAAGTTCAATTTTATATTCACATATCTATGGTTATGTAAAATTTAGTATTACAGAAGCAGTGACAGCATGAAACTTTTTCAAAAATCATTTCCTTGTCTTGCCTACTCTCTAAATATATGGCAATTCAATATTTCAATAAAATCTTGTTTTCTGTTGACTTGATTTATGCTAGATTATGCTAGAACATTTATTCCAGAAGTACGTTTCACCATTCAAAATGGCTCCCATCTTTATTAAAAATGTATTTTGGGCTACAATTAAAAGCCTCTCCAACAATTTGGATCACATTTTAAATAAAACTGCTTCATAAGTTACCAGTCTCTGCCTAATATGACTCCTTGTACACCAATAGGTCTTAATGTAGGTGGTTTTATTGTTGCCAGGTCATCTCAACCCCGAGTCATCTCAACCCCAAGTCAACTCAGCCCCAAGTCAACTCAGCCCCAAGTCACTCAACCCCAGTAAAACTCAACCCTGAAATTTCAATTTTTTCTATTTATTCAGTTTTATTCATAGTAATCATTTCAAAATACAAATACAAGTAGCAGCTGTGTATTAAAACATTAACAGCCGCATGTGCTGCTGACTCGATAAAAGGCTGGCGCTGGCTAGAATTGTCTATGGTTCTAGCCAGGATAAAGATACCAGTTCTTCAACTCGACAATGGGAAGAACTGCTCTACCTTAGTGACTAATATGTCATGATATGACATCTAAAGAGTCAATAAAAGATATATATAACTGGTAGGATTAGAACATTCACAAAAAGCGATAGCTTGTCTTTTTGGGATTTATAAACTTGATAGCTGAAATTTTGCATATTCTTAAATTCATCTTCTAGTTCATTTAAAATTCTTGATCTGAGTATGCAGTCAAAAATTACATGTAAGGTGGTCTCATTTTTTTAACCACATTGACAAACAGGAGTCTCCACATTTGTAAAGCTTTGTGTCATTGTTCAATTTGAAGTAAGATGAAAAAGACCTTTTTGACCTTGAGAAGTCGAATCTTTTCAAGGTAAAGTCAGATTTGAACTTCTGAAAACTTGTAGATGATTTTGAAAAAAATTGAAGTCAGTCTAAACTGTATTTGTTAAGTTATTAAAAGTTGTAAGAATTTGTTACAGACGCTGGTTGCCGACCGCCGTCAAAAAAATGGAGACCATAACAATATGTCACCACTTTTTGGTGGTGACATAAAAACAATCTGTCAAGTAATGTTAATTTGGTGGCATTTGCACATCTATAGATAATATCACAATAATCAAATAAAGGCAGGAAAAAGGATTTAAATATTAGTTCTAGGTGTTGTTTTCCACCTTTAGACAGATTTAGTTTCTTGTCAATTTTGTTTTGCAACATTTTGCAGTTGCTGTTACAGTGTTATCATATTAGTCCAACATATTAATCCTAGTACATGTAGGACCATGTTGACAGTTTGGAGCTTTGGAGATTGCGCTCATTGTTAACTATACAAGGCAGGTCCTAGAATGGATTTAGTTTCTTGTCAATTTTGTTTCCAATTTCATTAATGTGATTTTCAAAAGTCAAATATTTGTCCAGTATTAATATTCAATAGTGTCAACCTGAAAGGTATTACAAGAAAACAAACATATTAACACTAAAATAATATGACACGTGATTAAATCATCCTTAATTCCCTGTAATAACTCCCTGCTAATCACTCAACATTTTGCAGTTGCTGTAATCATATCAGTCCCACATATTAATCCTAGTACATGTAGGACCATGTTGGCAGTTTGGAGCTTTGGAGATTGCGCTCATTGTTATTGTTAACTATACAAGGCAGGTCTTAGAATGGAAATCAAAAATTGAAACAAAATTATTAAAACTTTCATTCA